CTTATTTTTTAATAAATATTTTCAAAAACTAACTGTTTGATTGAAAATTTTATTCATATGCATGCTAATTTTTAAATTATTTTAGTTAGTTTAACCACTTTATTGACTAAATAAATTTTAATATCAATAAACATATATTAATAAATAAAGTTCTTTTATCAAAGATTATAAATGTTAGATTAATATAAAAATTAACATACATAATTTACATAAATATAACTTTCAATTTAACAGTTAATTTTTAAAATTATTAATTAAAAAGTATGTTTTTAGACAAATCTTTCAAAAGAAATTTAAGAGAGGGAACCATCATATACTATTCTCTCAATAAAATAATATTATTGTTACTTTTTGAGGGAGCTTATTTAAATATATGACTCTAAGAGGAGGCATTCTATTTAAGAGGTTAATATTTAAAATATAAATTTTATAAAATAATATTAATTGTGATGATACATAAAAAGAGTTTTTTGATTATTCTGTATTGTACATGGTCTAAACTTGTTTGTTCAGAGGCAATTCAACATTGCTCTCAACATTGCTCTCTGATTATTATTTTTGTTTGGTAAGAATTTCTTGCATAAGGCATTACCATATAGTTGATTTGTTTTCAAATTCCATATTCGCACTCGCACGTCACACAATCATGTTGAACTCATTTTTATTGATGTATTTCCCATTTTCATAATGTTCATTCAGTTGATATTTTCAATTCATGATACTTTTGTTGCTTTACTTTGTGTGAATATTTTGGCATTTTGTGCCTTGCATGGTTTTAATTAGCACTTTGTGTGAATATTCTTAGTTTATTTAAAGAGTGTTTTAGAGTTTTGAAGGCAGTTGATGGCTGCCCTGTTTAGTTTTAATTAGTAATTGACATTTCTCTAGTGTAATAGTAATTCTTAGTTTATTTAAAGGGTGTTTGATTTAGAGTTTTAAACATATTTAATAAGTGTTGAGTTTTAAATAACTAAATAAAGACATTCAGGTAAAATATTTTATTAACTATTAAAAATGAATTAACCACTATTAATACTCTTAACAACTGCATTTCTCAACAACTACCTTAATCTGTTCTCCCAGCTTCCAAGTCTGCGTCGCTTTTGGTTGTTTCTCACTTTATTTTGTGAGTTCATTTTCTTTGCTACTTTTAGTTTAGTTGATTTCATCCTCTGCAAAACTCTTTGCGGCTTTTAGCCTTATTTTACTTCCTTTTTGTCATTTATTTCTTTTAGTACACAGTTGCGGAGAGACCCCTGAAGTGCTTTGAAGGCGACCTTAATCTGTAACTGATATGGTATAAGAAATATTATAGCAACAATATTATATAAAATTATAAATTTATAATCATAATATAATATTAAATAATTGTGATAAGTTATTAAATAAATATATAATATTATAAATAAAATTTTAAAATAAAAATTAATTATATAATAAAATATTATATTATAAATTTATAATATTATATAATTTTTGTATGGTACAGAAGAGGCCTCCGTTTCTGATAAATTGTCTGATTTTTTGATGCAATCTGCATTGAAATGACAACTTGCTTTCAATTACTCCAACAAGGCAACAAGTTTATTATAGGAAGTTCTGCATTTAAGCCCATCATGAACTTCTTTGGGCCGAAGCCCACCATGAACATTAGGCTTTACTGAATATAAATTGACCATGGTTGCTGTCTAACTGGTTTCTATTTCAATCTCAAGGATGAGGATAAATTGTCACATGACATTATAAATTACTTGGACAAAAGTGGAGAAGTACTTGGAACCTGATTGCTAGACATGTAGAATTTCATATTAAAGAGTCAATCCTTTTGAAATACACACACATCATTTGCCATAACTGCTAGAGGGAATGCTTTTTTTTAAAAAAAATTTTTTTATGTATATCAAAGAATTAATTATTTGATAATATAAATATTTAAATTTTTAATTTTGATTTCAAATTAAAATTTTTAAATTTATAAGTACAGATATAATCAAACTCTTATTGGCATTGAGAGGGAAGTCATGATAGCAAGGTTCTGCTTCTAATTTTTGAATTATGGTTTACCACTTGTCATGAAGTCAGGCAAACATCTTCATCCAGCATCAGACATTGGACATAAAAAATGGATGAAAGACATTAGACATGCATGCCAGAATGGATGCAAAGTAAAAGTAGTCTAAGTTATGGAGATGACATCCTCCCATACGTTAGCTAGTTTGCTTTTATATCCTCGGAAAATACTGGTCTTTTTCTAAGGCATTAACGCAACCGAACTTGCATGTCTCACTACAGTACGTGACACAGAACAATAAGTCAGATTTCTTACCGACAAAATATCTTCACCATCAACATTTACAGGACGTTTGGAGGGCTAGATAAATGGTGGAATTGGTGGAATTGTACAAATTTTTTGTTCGATCCCACCATAGCCAACGTTTGGGAGGTTTCAAAGATAAAATAATTTTTATCTCAACTTTTATCTCATCTCAAGTATGCAACGTAAAATGTATCCCACCTCCCCCATGGCATTAGGTGGGATGACATTGAATTTTTACCCCTGTTTACACTTGATTTTACAACATATAGAGTGCTGCCACGTGTCACCCATGATGGCAGATATTTTATTAGTTGAGAGTTGGTGTGAATTTCTTCAGATGAGATTGAGTGGTTATTTCCACAACGGTAGCAAAACCGTTTTTTTGTTGCAAGCTTTCAAGAGGATAATTGCAGCACCAACAAATTAATTAATTTGTTGCAGATATTACGCTACTAGATGCTGCCGCAGATCTCCACCATGCTGCCAAGGTTCTATAAATACATAATGATAAGATCAAGCAAAGGATCGACATCTCACACAACAAACTCAGCACAATTTCTCTTTATACTTAGATTCATCTTAGTTTCAAGCCTTGTAATTTAATTTCAGCTTTACGCTTCAACTTAGATTAGTTTAGCAATTCGGTTCTTCTTTTGTCGAATTTATAATGGTGAGTTTCGCTGCCTTCAGTAATATTTCTTTGTAATCGGATTGCTTCCTTTCCTTTTTATTTGTTTTCCAAATTTTCTTTAATTTAATCAAATGATGTCGACATTTAATTTCATGTTCAGTTCCATTTCTGTTAATTTACATTTCATGCTGCCAGTAGATTTTTCATGCTTCGGGTTTTATTTACTTTAACTTAATTTACTTTTCCTGCAATTAAATTTCCTTTTAAAGCTCTGTTTCAATTTAGTTTGTGTATTTAAAGTTCATTAAGATTTTCAGTAGTTTAGCGATTATTTATTTACTTTGCAGCCTTAACTTTTCTTGATTACATTAGCTTTGAGGAGTCCTTGGAATCATATCCAAGGTATTTTGTCGTATAACCCATTTAGTGCAGGAAGTTCATCCCTCGTTTCTGCCAATCGTCTGATCTTTAAGGTGCAATCTACGACGTTCTTCCATCAACTCACAAGTTGAGTTCCACGCTTGGAAAGAAGAGAAGGTCGTCGGAGAAATCTTTCTTGTTTTAAGCAAAGCAAGTGGCACGCCATTTCATCTGCCACGTGTCAAGGAGATTTTTTGGGAAAACAATCTCTTTTTGGCACGCCTAGTGGGACCTCCTGCTGGCGATTGTCTATCAAGAAAAGTTTTTTGATCCTCTTTTTGCTTTTCCTGGGCATAAAGCAGCCATAGCCATGCCTAGGAGAGTTGGAAAAGAAGTTGCACAACAAGTGGAAGTGGCTCCTGTGAGTCCAAGACATTCTAAGGGTGAAAATAGTCCGAAGCATCTTCCGCCTATTTCTCCCTTGGCTGATCGCTCATATGGCAATCCCATATATCGTGCAAGGATGATGAGGAAAATGTTGATTCTATTGAGTCAAGCAATAAAATATCTCAAGAACTTCAGCAGATAAGGAGGCTACAAGAAGAAGCTAATCAGAACATAAAGCGTAGTCTAGAAAGCTTTCTTCAAGCCCAACAACAACAGTCAGATCAGTTCACTTGATATATGAATACTATTGAAAGGGCCATTAATGAAAGTTCTCGAGCCATCCGAGAAGATGTAGCAGAAAGTCGCAGAACCTTCACTGCAGTTTCTGAGAGAACCATGGAACATGTTCGACAGTAGCAAAATGTTCCAAGGCAACCCGTACCCCCAGCAATGGAATTGCCACAGCAAAATCTTCCAGATCCTTTGCCCGGGGGCCACGAGGGGCATATTAATCAGCCACAGGTGGTGCAGCAAATGCTCGATGCTCAAAATAATGCTCTTGGTGCTGGCTAGGTGCAGTTCAATAGGCAACAGCAAAATAATCCTACTGGTGGCATCCTTGGACTACAAGATCCTGTGGAAGCAGCATTCCGTGCAGCTGAGCAGTTCAACGCCAATCAACAAAGATATGTACCCCCTGCATGGCGTCCAAATGCTGTCCCATAGCCCAATTTGCAGAATAATGTTTTTCAACCACTCGGGCTACAAGCAGCAACTCTTTCCTTGGATAGAAATCAACTGATTAATCTAGTCCAGGAGACATATGGTCCAGCTCTGAGACCATTGGTTCGTCCGTCCTATCACAAGCCGTATCCAGATTACATAGATCGAGATAATCCATTTCCTCGTGGATTCAAAGTGCCTGAATTTACTTTGTTTTCTAGGGATGCGAGTCAGTCAACCATTGAACACATTGGTAGGTTCACTATTCAATGTGGGGAGGCATCGGGTGATGATTTTTTGAAGTTGAGACTCTTCGTTCTTTAACTAGTACTGCACTGATATAGTACCTAAGTCTGCCGCAAAATTCTGTATTTACCTGGAGACAAATGGAAGATTTGTTTCATATTCAATTTTACCGCTCAGAGCCTGAGATATCCATGGCTAATCTTTCTAGATTAACTCAACGGCTAGGGGAATCTTCTGAAAATTATCTTATGCGGTTTAGAAAAGCCTGGATGAAGTGTCATGTTGCCTTACCAGAGCAAGAGTTCGTGAAGCTTGCTCAGAATGGTTTAGACATTGAACTTCGAAAGAAGTTTGAGGGGATGGAATTTAGAGACTTCTTTGAGCTCTCTTATAAAGTGGCACGTTATGAGAACCTTTTAAGAGAGGAATCCCAAAGAAAGGCAGCATCGCAAGGAACTTATTATCAGGATGCTTTTGACCTTGATGTTGCCGAGGTCTTTGCAGACAAGCCAGTAACTTGTCCTAATCTAGTGAAAGTCATTCAACAGGTTGAGGCGGCTGCAAAGCATCTCCCGTATGAATTTGGGAGACAATACACATTTGATGTGACTAAAGCAAATGAAATCTTTGATTATCTGAAAAAGTCAAGACATATTAAGCTGCCGCAGGGGCATAGGCTCCCGACGGTTGCTGAAATTGCATCCAAAGATTATTGTAAGTTTCATAACTCCTCGAAACACTTTACTAATGACTGTGTTATTTTTCGAAATGTGTTGCAGGACAAAATTGACAAAGGGCTGCTTCGTTTCCCTGAAAAACCCAAGGAAGCCATAGGGGTTGATGAAAATCCTTTTCCGAACGTTGATGTTGGAGTTAATGTTGCTGACATAAGAAGCATCTCTCGAAGGACGTATAAAGGGCGAACTTTGGCTGCAAATGACCTTCGTTGGGTGATTGAGAAGGAAAGGGAACGTCATGCCCAACAGAATTAGAGGCTCAGGGGGCAACATCATGCTGCCAGAATCTATGCATCCGGATCCAGGATGAAGGAGGCTCGACATACAGATCACTCTCGTATGGTTAAGCCTCCACAGCGACCTCCAAGTAAAAGGTGGGAGAAGGTCGTGCATCCCAAGTTTCCAAAAGAACCTGTGAGAAATCTTAGAACTTTGAGAAGAAGGTTGCAGCGAAAGCGAGCAGAGGCACGTCATCGTCAACAATTAGCTACTGAGGAAGTTAAGGTTCCACAACGTTCTCCCGCAAAGGGAAAGATGGTGTGGAAGAGAAAAGAGAATCAAGAGCTTGCTGTCCAGAATGAATCTCAACTGAAAGTGCCACCTCCTAAGCTCACCTCACTGATCGTCAATGAAAATGAGTTGAAGGCAACCTTTGAAGCAGATCAACAAGCAGAGTTGACTGGCGATGATAATCTTCTTGAGGACATGGATGTTTTGCAGATCGACAACATCTCTATTAACCTTTCTTGTTTGGTTCTCACGCTTCCTTTGGTTTTTCAAGCCAAGGGCAGCGAGACTACCCATGTTTCCAATGGCAGTATGCTTGTTGAGGAAGAAGTGATAGAGGTTCCAGCCTAAGAAGAGGAAGAGGAGCACGATATCCTTTCAGAACAAATTATCTTTAACAAACCAGATGAAAGTGTGGCTCGTCATATAAAGCCACTCTACATTTCAGCTCACATGGATGGAGTTCCAGTGAATCGAGTCCTTGTTGACAATGGAGCAGCAGTCAATGTCATACCTCCTTCTATGCTGAGGAATTTGGTTAAAAATTCTAAGGACTTGGTTTATACTGACGTAACCATCAGTGATTTCACAGGTGGTGTTAGCAAATCAAAAGGAGTGTTGCCGGTTGCACTTACTGTCGGCAGCAAGACGTCAATGAGTGCTTTCTTTGTTGTAGACTCTTCTGCAACTTATAATGCATTACTGGGGCGTGATTGGATCCATTCGAATTGGTGTGTTCCATCTTCGGTCCATCAAAGACTCATTTTTTGGAATGGAGGCAAAACTGAGGTGGTCTATACTGACAACAGACCATTCTTAGCCAATTGCAATATGGTGGAAGCACGGTACTATGATGAAGATGTAGGAACCATCCATTTCTTCGGCATGGATAGACAAGGAAGACCTCGTGGAATCACTGCTTGCAACAAGCCTAGCTTGGCTAAGTATGTGGTTGACGAGGTATGCAATGAACTCTTGCGGCCTACTGCCATTATTCCATATAGGCTGCAAGAGGAGCCCAAAATTGAAGAGTTATTATGAAGAAATCCAGAATAAACAAAGAAAGAAGGGAGGCCATATCTGAAATTCTAAAGAAATTAGTGGCCTATTTTGCTGAAAGAAATACAGAAGCAAATCTGTCGGAGGTGGTACGTGAAGGTGAAGAGGATACCCATACCGACGGAGTCACAATGGAGGAGTTAGATTTGGCCCCTGCAAAGCTGGATGACCTCAGGGTTGATGTACAAGATCCATTGAATGAAGTTAATCTAGAAACGGAGGCAAAGCCACGCATTACTTTTGTCAGTGGCTTGCTGCCGCCAGAGATGCGAGATCAAATAATCTGTTTACTACATGAATTCAAAGATTGCTTTGCTTGGGATTATTCTGAGATGCTAGGTTTAGACCGAGAGTTGGTAGAGCATAGACTACCAATCAACAAAGGATATAAGCTGTACAAATAGCCGCCACGCCGTATGTCTCCAGAAGTGATTTTGAAGGTGAAGGAAGAAGTGGAGCGGCTGCATAAAGTTGGTTTTATACGGACAGCCAGGTACTTAGAATGGTTGTCTAATATTGTTCCAGTACTGAAGAAGAATTGAAAGCTCAAAGTCTGCATTGATTTTCGAAACTTAAATCTAGCCACACCAAAGGATGAATACCTCATGCCAGTAGCAGATTTACTTGTTGATGAGGTTGCACGCCATCGCATTTTATCTTTTATGGATGGGCATAATGGCTATAATCAGATCTTTATTGCAGAGGAAGACATAAGTAAAACGACGTTTCGTTGCGCTGGAAATATAGGTATGTATGAATGGGTTGTGATGCCGTTTGGGTTGAAAAATGCAGGAGCTACATATCAGCGGGCCATGAATGCAATTTTACATGATATGATTGGCCGCTTCATGGAGATTTATATCGATGATGTTGTTGTTAAATCCATGGAGGATGAAGAACATTTGGAGCACTTGAGGAAAGCTTTTGAAAGAATGCGACAGCATGGTTTGAAGATGAATCCTCTCAAGTGTGCTTTTGGTGTTACAGCAGGGAATTTTTTGGGTTTTCTGGTCCATGAACGAGGCCTAGAGGTGGACAAAAACAAAGCAAGGGCCGTAATTGAAGTACGGCCACCACAAAATAAAAAGGAATTACAAAGGTTTCTTGGTCAGGTTAATTTCCTAAGGAGGTTTATCTCTAATTTGGCGGGCAAAACTTGTGTCTTTTCACCTCTTTTGAAGTTGCAGCCTGATGCAGATTTTAAATGGGAGAGGCAGCACCAAGCCGCTTTTGATGCCATCAAGGAATACTTGTCTAAGCTACCTGTGTTGGTTCCTCTGGTTAAGAATAAACCCTTATTGCTATATATCCGCCGCAGATGAGTCAATTGGCTATCTGCTGGCGCAAGAGAATAATAATAAATAAGAACAAGCTGTTTATTATTTGAGTAGAGCTTTGAATCCGACCGAAATGAAATATTTTTCGGTTGAGAAATTGTGTTTGGCTTTGTTCTTTGCAGTAATAAAATTGAGGCACTATTTATTGTATTCGGAGGTGTTTGTTGTTTCAAAAACTGATGTCATAAAATACATGCTGTCGCGGCCACTCTTAAGAGGCCGCATTGGTAAGTGGATTTTTACACTTACTAAATTTAATCTGAGATATTGCCTCAAAAAGCCGTCAAAGGACAGGTTTTAGCAGACTTTTTAGCAGGTCATCCTTGTTTAGATGTTAACGCTGATGAAAACAAGGGAATCAATCTCTTTTCAATTGACTTGGTTCCTTGGAGGCTTATTTTTGATGGGTCTAGCACTGATCAAGCCTCTAGGGCTGAGATTATTATTGTTTCTCCAGATGGCATAAAAACCCAATGGTGTTTTCAATTGGATTTCAAATGCACCAATAACCAAGCAGAATATGAAGCTTTGGTAATTGGCCTTGAGTTGTTGGTGGAGTTGAAGGTGCCATCGGTTGAAATTGTGGGTGATTCTCAATTAGTTCTCAAGCAATTGAGTGGCGAATATAAGTGTACAAGCGTGGTTTTGTCTCCATATTTTGCCACTGCCATCCAACTACTGGAGGAATTTGATGATGTCTCCCTAAAGCATATTCCTCGCAACATGAATATTGAAGCAAATGAACTTGCGCAGATTGCTTCAGGTGTAAAAATGCCTAAAGGCATCTTGGAGAAAGTCATCGTCATCATCAAATTCATCAAAGACGAATAACGGTGGAAGCATGCTCACTAGATGTCACACCTACAGACTGGAGGCATCCAATAATAAAACATTTGAGGAATCCCAGTTCTAAAACATCAAGGAGAACGAGGATGCAAGCTTTAAACTATGTGCTACTCGGGGATGTTTTGTATCGTAGGGGGCAGGATGAATTGTTATTGCACTGCCTCGGTCTTGATGAAAGTTACCATATGATGTCAGATGTTCATAATGGTATTTGTGGTGCTCATCAAGCAGGGATTAAGATGAGATGGCTAATTTGAAGGCATGGTTTCTTTTGGCCATCCATTCTTAAGGATTACATCAATTATGCGAAGGGCTGCAGAGCTTGTCAGCTGCATGGTCCTTTGTAGCGAGTGCCAGCTTCTAAGATACATCTTATTGTCAAGCCATGGCCTTTTCGTGGCTGGGCAATTGATTTGATTGGGAAAATCTATCCACCTTCTTCTAAAGGCCATTCTTTCATAATAGTTGCTACAAACTACTTTACTAAGTGGGTGGAGGCAAGGCCTATGAAGAAGGTTGAGCAAGGAGATGTCATCACGTTCATAAAAGAGGATCTGATCCACAGGTTTGGTCTTCCAAAAACTATCACTTCTGATCAAGGTACTACTTTTGTTGGATCTAAAGTAGAGGCCTTTGCAAAAGACATGGGATTTCATTTACTTAATTCAACTCCGCATTATGCACAAGCAAATGGTCAAGCAGAGGCATCTAATAAGATTATCATCAACATCTTGGAGAAAATGGCTGATGATAATCCCAGGAGATGGCACGAGCTTCTTTCAGATACTCTCTCGGCATACAGAACCTCACAACGGAGCTCAACTAAGGTGACCCCATTCTCGCTTACTTATGGTCATGATGCTGTCTTGCCTATGGAATTAACAACAAGGTCTTTGCGGATTGCAATTCAAAATGGCTTGAATTTTGGGGAATACAATGAGGCCATGATCATGGAGTTGGAAGACCTTGAGGAAGCAAGGCTAACAGCATTGGATGTGATGAAGGCCTAGAAGCTTAAAGTGGCACAAGCTTACAACAAAAGGGTCAAGCAAAATAATTTAGAAGAAGGAAGGTTGGTTTGGAAGGCTGTGCTGCCACTTGGCAAGAAGGATCCTAGATATGGTAAGTGGTCCCCTAATTGGGAAGGACCATTCCAAATTCATAAAGTTCTTAAAGGGGGTGCTTATTGGTTAAAGTCTTTGAATGGGGAGTTGCATCCGTGCAAGATCAATGGCATCCACTTGAAACCATATTATCCGAATGTGTGGGAGGCAAGGGATAGTTCTACCTCCACGTCTGCATGATCTAGGTTTGCAGACATTTGTATATTATTTGATTCAAGTTGTTTTTCTTTCAATAATGACACGTAGAGTTTTGGCTTGAACCATGGAAGCGTACATAAGACTTGGTGCTGCCAAGGAGGCATGGCATGTTCTTACATTTGTGTTTTAGAGCGGCTTTGTTTGTAAAGCCGTGGGCAGCATGAATAAAGCAAGCAAATAAATTCATGTTCATCATTAGAAGAAGAAAAATAAAAGAAGTCTGGAAACAAATGTTCAAGCAGCTTAATGGCCGTGACAAGGATGAATGATACTTAAAAAAAAAAAAAAAAACCTAGCAAAGGTTTTGCATCCAGGTGGCCCACTCATCTTTCATTTGATGCAGCGTGTTGTTGGCTTCCTTTGCTTTCTCCTCCTGTTATGCAGCCTCACTCTTTGCAGCCAAAGCTTCTTGCCCTTCTTCTTGGAGCTCAACTAGTAATTTGCTTCTTTTGGCTCTAAGGGATTTGAGGCTTCCTCCTTGCTGTAACTCTCAGGCAGGAAATTTGACTAGCCATGGCTGGAATGGCTTGACAGAGACGATGCGAAAACTAGAAAGACAGAAAGAGAGAAACGACCGCAAATCTGTGATGATGGTTATCGAAGGAATGGCTGTGCTTTATAATGAATTGAAGTCGATCATGTTTCCGAGTCCTAAGTGGTGAAGAATTGCAATTGCGTCGCAGAAGTTGCAGTCGGCCACGTTTCCAATTCCAAATCGGAGAAGAAATGTAAACAGCAAAAGGGGACAAAGGCACAAAGAAGTTGAGTACTGTCATTAAGGTCCTAAATTTTTGACACCTACTCCCGTAAGGTCAAAAATTGGGGGGCAATGTTTACACCTGATTTTACAACATATAGAGTGCTGCCACGTGTCACCCATGATAGCAGATATTTTATTAGTTGAGAGTTGGTGTGAATTTCTTCAGATGAGATTGAGTGGTTATTTCCACAACGGCAGCAAAACCGTTCTTTTGTTGCGAGCTTTCAAGAGGATAATCACAGCACCAACAAATTAATTAATTTGTTGCAGATATTACGCTACCAGATGCTGCCGCAGATCTCCACCATGCTTCCAAGGTGCTATAAATACATAATGATAAGATCAAGCAAAGGATCGACATCTCACACAACAAACTCAGCACAATTTCTCTTTATACTCAGATTCATCTTAGTTTCAAGCCTTTTAATTTAATTTCAGCTCTACGCTTCAACTTAGATTAGTTTAGCAATTCGGTTCTTCTTTTGTCGAATTTATAATGGTGAGTTTCGCTGCCCTCAATAATATTTCTTTGTAAT